CATGGCCTGATGTGCGGTATGTAGGTCCGCGCCCAGGATCTGAATTGGTGAACCCTGGTCCGCCAAAGAGGAGCACACAAACTTAACCACTCGGCCACGGGGCTGGCCCTAATAATCAATTTTGATTAATTAATTTTGTTCAGTACAATTTTGTACAGTAAAGTTTTACTATAAATAATAATGTCTTCTTTGAAACCTACCCTGATAGAGTATAGGGGCCTAAATAAATTCAAGTTATTCAGATTCAGTTCAGATAAGAAAAAAGTAATATTAAGTTGCAAGAAATTACTTGTGATAATTGGTAAAAATAAGTTTGAATTCTACTGGTTTTGGAGGTGCTCCATATTTGCAGCTAACTACATGTGTCTCCCTCTTTTCTCCATATGACACACTGCCCATGTGTTTGAATTCCTAAGATAAATTTGGGAAATTCATTTGATTTGGGACTGGTTATATGGTGATAATTCTCTAATGGAGAAAAGTCTCTGAGTCTTGTTTTCTTTGTCCTGGTAGTAATCACTGGCCATAAGTTAGAGGGCATAACATCATTATCTTTCATACAATGAATTACAGGGTTTTTCGTAAACTAGCATATGGAATAATATACAATAATATAATACAAGAAAAGTTCCTGTCATTTGATATATTGTGATGAGTCATACTCTGTTTCTAAGGACCCATGTCCATACCTTGAACTCCAAATGAACATTACTTCAAAGACAGGAAGGATCCATTCTTTGAGTTATAAAGACCAAATTTGGGGGTAGAGAACAGAGGAATCAAGCAACAAGAGAAAAAGTCCACAGTATAAAGGCCTGCTAATACTTTTGCATAACCTACATAATGTGCCCTTGCCCCTCTCCACTTTGATAGAAAGCATATCAGATGCAATTCATTAATATTGTTTCATGACTTTCCCTCCCAGTGTCAGGCTAGTAGTAATAAAAGGAAGAGCTTCTTTAGTCCTTGGTAATGACAGTATCTTAGAAACTATATTTAACTTGATCATCCAATCACTCGTGAGAATGAGAAAGACTCAAGTTTTCCCTTAAGCTGTTAAATTCCAAAGCTATTGCCAAATATACCTTGGCTAGAGGGACCAACCGCTTTCTCGTACAGAACTGGTAGGAAGTTACGGGGGAAGAGACTGGCTAACATAAATAACAAAGTCTAAAAAGTAGTGACACACAGACGTGGTGTTCTAAACTAATAGTCTCCAAACTTTTATAACTGTATTTCCTTGATAAAAAAAATAATCATGTACTCCCCAATTCATGTCTATTTATTTATAAATCATATATATGTGTGTGTATATATATATATATATACTACTTTCTAATTGTACACAATTCTTAAAACAGATAAAAGTAGAAATTAAAAAGGTGAACTAAAGAGTAAATGTTAAATTATTTTAATATTATTTAAAGTATTGTTATAAAACTTAAAAATTATTGAATTGTTATTATTGTAAATAAATTTTAGTGAGACAATGGAACTGAAAATGAATCAGTAATTTTTACAATGTTGATTTAACTCTGACAAAGAAATTTGAAGGCTGGTTTCAATATTCAGATTGTTTTGATATTTGGTTTTAATGGAACAAATGCATCATTGGCTGTACTTACTAAATCAGGATACTCATTTTTCAATCCCAAACATCAATTAAGAAAAGGTGATTGTTTTTGAAATTTTGTCAAATATCTATCTTCCTTGATATTAATTATTCTTATAAATCTCTCAAAAGGTTTTTCAAAATAAACAAACATTTAAAAAAAAGGGCTCAAAATCACTGAGAATCATTGTCTGAAGAATTTTTATTGAATTTAGCATTCCTGTCAAAATTTACTACAGTGGAACCATTTTAAAACGGAGTCAGAGACATCTTTCCAGAGAAACTGCCTTCTTGTCTTGAACCTTGGACTGGGCCAAACTTTTGGATAATTGTTTTACAAGCAAGTGTTTGAGAAGTCAGCAGGAGAACAGACATGCTGATCACAAAGACTGAGGACTGTTGATTTTCTGAAGATAGTATCAATAGTCAATCAATGTTTAGCCAAGACTAGCTCTCTGCCTCTAACTCCAGTTAAAATTCTTTGTAATACAACCTCCCTTCTTTGCCAGTAAAAGCCTCTGACTTTTATTCCCCAGTGGGACGCCAACTGGGTTTCTACCTGAATCTATGCTCCCTGAATTGCAATTCTTTGGTCTTAAATAAATACTTTGCCTCTTAAACTGGTTTCTGTTTCTGCAGGTTGACAGTCCTATGCCAAGTTAATGTGCAGGTGAGAATACTTGAAGTTGACACATTTTCAGCTTCTAAATCACTGGATTTAGAACCAGAAATGGATGGAACTATTTCTAAATATCCATTTGAAAATAGTCTTGCTTTAGATTAATCTCCTAAAAGAAGTTACTTGGCCACCATTGGCTGACATTTCATGAAGTATGATAGATTTTCATTATTTTTAACTTTTTAATATGTCTGATGAAGAACCTGTACAGGGGTAGGAGAAGTGACAGCTTTGCTACTTTCTTATTATTGACTTGTGCTTGCATGATTAATATTATTGTCAAACTGTGTTTTATTTCTTAAAGCTACTTGTCCATTCTGAAACGATTAGTTTGATTGTAAGTAGCTAATATAATATATAAACCCTCTTAACCAGGTACATGTAAACTGTACTACATGTCAATAGTCTGAGACTGAAGAAAAAATAAAGATGCAACTGTTCAGTTTTAGAACTCCCACTCTCCTTGGGAGCAGAGGAATCTTGTGTATTTTGTGACTGACACATAACTGATGTACAGAGAGAGTAAGGAATAACATTCCATTATTAAACTTTCATCAGATTATTTGCCTTGGTTGTTAGACAAAAATAAATGTAAATGAGAATTTCAGTGTTTTCTTTCTCATCTCAGTAGATCATCTTTTACACAGCCCATAAGCCCCTATTGAAAACATTGATAGAAGAGAGTAAAAGAAGGTATAATTTCTCTGATAGCAGCTGAAGAAACTCTTAAGCCTAGAGGGTAATTGATTTACCAGGTCATTAATGTTATCAAGAAACCAAGTCCTTTTAGTCTCTTCTTCCTGCTATCCTCAATACTGTCATAATTTTAAAGCTGGAAGCAAGAATTTTGCAATAATTTTAGGCATTATATGCAGACTTATCAACAACCAGAACACAGTTCATATTTTGGGAGAGAGGGAAATTATTCCAGAAGCCGTCCCTTGGAGCTGGGATGTAGTTAGTTTCCCCTGAGACACATGATTGAGTGGATGAAGAATGAATGTCAGAAAAAAATCAGGTTTCTATTAAGAAGAGGAAATAGTTTCTGGAGAGGTAAACATTTGTAGCCACTCTGTAGCCTAAATAAGCAAATTAACCATATAATCTTGACAATCAAATGAATGAAAGAGGTGAAAGACAGGTAGTTCACATCTATCACTTTGCCCAAACCAAGGCCTGTAGAAGCACTGGAAAAATGAAATCAGTAAATCACTATTTCTGCCTGAGAGGCACCATAGGATATCCATTTTCAGGAATGGTTATTTAAAAATTTGTCCTGTCATATCTGTGAAACGATGGTATTCTTGACGATTGGTCAATGTCATATACCCTTCTACAAAGAAATAACGTTTCATATATTCATTATTGAATTATAATTGACTTTCTGGGACTTCAAAGTATTTAACTTTAATTTCTGGTAGATGTTTTACTTGAAAAATATCTTGAAAGTGTTAAATTAAATACCATTTGAATCCCAGAATAAGAGGATTGTAAAGGATTATGAACATTCACATAGTTTTTCAATGCAGCTAGGTGTTGTATCCAGTCACAGAGAAGAGAAAAGTTGTTCTGAGCCATCAGCATTGAGCTGCGAAAATGAAAGCCCAAGCCAAGTGTGGGATGGGGATCAAACACTGGGAAAAAATGAGCAGAATGCTAGAACCAAGTAAAGTGAAAATCTATGGGACATACAGGGATCAGAAGCCTCCTTGAATTAGTCAAAACAAAAGGCATTGGAGATGATATGGTTCACCATCTATTACCCTTCTTGATCTCCAGAACAGCTTTTAGTGGTGTATTGATAATGAAATGAATTCTCTCTGTATTGCAGATGCTGTTTGTGTGTGAAGTTGTCTAATATGCTTTCTAGATTTATTTCATCAACACTTGAGGAAATATTTTAAGGTAAAGTAATGGAGAAAAAGTAAGAACTAATAATAATTCTTAAAAAAAGGTAAGTATCAATTAGAACATTATATAGACAATAAGGTATAATGTCAAATCAAATAAATAGCATATAAGATCACTATTATATCTCACTTACATATGTAAAGTACTTTATGATAAAAGCAAAGGACTAAGATGAGAAATTCTTGTTTGATGTGAGTTTTATGTTGGAAGTGACCTTGAAGGCAATTTAGTCTAATCTCCAGGATAGTAAAGGAAACTCCCACAAACACTGCACTACAGCTAAATCAGAACAGGACAAAACACTTGGTTGCTCTGTCTGTTTTGTCAATGGTAGGCCTACTGAGTTAGCATGACTAACAAAAATAAAATAAGCTGAATATGTTGGCTTCACTTACACAAACATAGTCTTGGTCTATGAGAACAATTAAATAGTAAACTATCACTGCAGTTTGGATAAAATATTCATCATGTGATTACTAGTAAATACTCACCCTTCATAACTGAACACAGGGTTATTAAAGACCAAGAGTACTATTGAGAACAAATATACTTCTAAACTCTTGAACGTAATAAAGAGAGTTATTACGACTGTCAGAACATGGCTGAATTCTTCCGTTCAGCACGGGATTTCTTCATAATAGTTTAGGAAAGTGTATTGAGTAGTAAGGAATCCTGCCCTTAGCTGATGAATTTAACAAGACCAGATTAAAAGCAACTTACTTTCAATGATGTAAAAACTCTATATTTTTAAAGGTGCTCAAATATATCATTTTTTTTTTAGATTTTTTTATGACTTACCTTTCAAATTATGTTGATATTCAATGGTCTGTTGCAGCCCTTTGACCATATTATGAAGAGCTGTACATTCTAAAACATAAAAGATAAATTTATTTGAAGATTATTTGCTTTAATTTTGGAATTATTCTTTCAAAGTTGAAATACTTAAAATAAAATAATATTTAATTGACAATTTTGAAATCTTAATAAGGTATCTCAAAGTAAATTATATAATACCTTTTAATCAGCCTTTAAGCCAAACATATTCAAGGATTTAGTAATGAGTTTTCTAAGGTAAAATAAATTCAGTATAGTAGGGATTCCCCCCATGTGCCTTGGCAACATCTGCCCTAGAAGTAAGGCACACATGGACATCTCTGGGGAACTATGAGAAATATATCATGTGAGTTTTCCATGAAAGACTATCCCAAGGAAAGACAGTCAAGGTACATTAAGTTTTACTCAAAGACAGAGTCAGAGCTAGTGAGAAGTGTCATTTGGGAGAAGATAATGCTTTTCTTCCTCACTGTCCTCTAACCTGTCCTCTTAGTACTCATGCTTGAGTGTTAGGGCAAGGGAGTAGCAATAAAAGGAGTGAAATCTCAATGTGTTCAGTTACAAGGCATCAGCAACTTTGTTGCCAATGACTTCTTCCATATCAAGAGATGGAGACTTCCTTGTAAGCACTGGTGCCCTGACATGTGCACATAAGCTTTCAGTATACTCTTGGTTATCACCAGCAACAACTAAACTTTTGGTGGATAGCAACAATGGTGGCAACATCTGTCACTTTAAGCAGTCCACTTTAAGCTCCAGGTTAGCAGGGACTATTTTCTGTTTTGTTTACCACTTCTCCCTAGTACTTAGAGCAGCTGTGGTCCATAGCAGGCACTCCATAAATATTTGGTGAATGGTTGATTGATACACAGGCAATATCATAGTAAACTGAAACAAGAAAGGGGTAAGTGGAGAAGCTCTGGCCTGAAAATACAACATATATTATATCGCTATTCTAACTGCTTTGCAAATATTAAATCATTTAGCCCTCTTAACCCTATGAGGTTGGTCCTAGTATTGACTCATTTTACATATGAGGAGATTGACACACAGAAGTTTAGGAAATTGCCCAATGTCACACTTATAACAAGTAAATGGTAGAGCTATAACTTGAATCCCAGCAGTCCAGCACTAAAGTCTATGATTTTAATTACTTTACTACCACCAAGAAGACCAGCTCAGGACCACTTCTTCAGAGTAATTTGAGTAGGTTGGAGGCTCTGGAAAGAGGGCAAGAACAGAACCAGAGAAGGACTCTTTGTGAGAGTTATTGCTGTCACATTTTTACCATAAAGTTAGGAAACATATGTTGCACTAATTTACGCTTACAATTATAGTAGCTAAACATATAATGATGAAAACTTCATAAAAGAACAACCTAATATTTCTAAAAAGAAAGATAACTTTAAGTTTAAGGGCAATTTCACTCCTATGTGCTTCGCTTAACAGCTAATAAATATTGAGCCTTATTCTCTTTCTTTCAGTTTTAGAAGCCCACAATTGATACTTAGCCAGTATTTACTAGCATGACTTACTGACTAGCTTCCATTCTAATTGGGCATCCATTTTGATGGTTAAATATTAAATACCAAATTTATGTCTAATAATGACAAGTTTTCTAGGTATAATAATAGTGCCATTGACTGAATGTTTACTCTGCCAGGCACTGCCCTATGTGCATTATAAACATTACTCCAATTAATATTCAAAATGATACTGAGAAATTGGTATCATTATCCTGATTCTACAAAGGTAGGAAGTCATCCACAGAGGTTCGGTTACTTGCCAAAGATTCTACAGTTAGTAAATGGAAGGTATAGACTTGAACATAGGTTTTTCTCATTTCAATCCCGTGCTCTTAATATGCTATCCAATACTTCCTCAGGAAGTGTAGGACATGCTGATGAAACCATGAAATCTGGAGTCAGAGGGACTGGCTTAGAGTTTCAGCTTCTTCACTTTCTACATATGACACCCTGGGTAAGCTACTTAACCTAAATTCACTCGCAAATATTTAATATTGTTATTGTTGTTATTATTTCTCTCCTCTGTGTCCCACAACAATTTGTAAATATCTTTTTTTCTCCATTTATCACATTGCATTTTAGTTATCTGTGGTTTCTCCCACAAGATAGCGAACTCTTTCAGGTATAGATGGTATCTTCTTTATTTTGATATTCTTTGTATCTAACATGGTGACTATTTCATAGGTGTTCAGTAGTTTGTTTTTTTTTTTTTAATTTATTGACTAAATGAAAGAAAGAATGGTCGGTGGATGGGTGGGGATGCAAAAGTTCACCTTTCAGTTAGAGGTCCTGCACTCAGTCTTGGTGTACTTTCTTCAACTATGCTAATAAAAATTAAAGTATTTTGCAGAAGTTAAAAGGTTTATGCAGATATAAGCTTCTACTATTATGGTTCTTCACGCCTTCCCACACCCCCTCTACCATCCTTGCTATTCAGACAAAGTTCCCATCATCTTCCATTTTTTCTCTCTTGCTATTTCCCAGTAATAGAATGATGGTTAAATTACGTTTGAGATTATCTACTTCATGTATGTTACTGTGTTAGCTGCTACAATTTAAAAATTAAGGAGGTATAGATTCTACCATCACTGTCTTTGTGCGTTTTAGAGTCATGAATCCAGCAATCCATGAAATATGGTAGCTGTAGGTGCCTCAGTAATCAGTAAATTGAAAATAGAGCCCTGGGGCTGGCCCCATGGCTGAGTGGTTAAGTTTGCGCGCTCCGCTGCAGGTGGCCCAGTGTTTCGTTGGTTTGAATCCTGGGCGCGGACATGGCACTGCTCATCAAGCCACGCTGAGGCAGCGTCCCACGTGCCACAACCAGAAGGACCCACAATGAAGAATATACAACTATGTACTGGGGGGCTTTGGGGAGAAAAAGCAAAAAAAAATATAAAATCTTTAAAAAAAAAAAAAAAAGAAAGAAAATAGAGCCCTGAAACTGAAAAATTGTGTATTTTCAAAATATGAACACAAGGTGGCTCTCTCAACACATTTTTTCTTTCTTTTTTTTTCTCTTTTTACAAAGGAAACTGGCTCAGTAAGGAATTCTTTTAAGGTAGAATGCTATTCATTATTTTAGAATAATGGCTTTTAATTCTTTTTGCAAACCTTTTATCCACATTATCATTTCTGTTGGACTTTACGATGCAATTTGAACAATACTATTCTATCCAATTCTTAAAAACTAGAGCTCAGACAATCAAGCTACTTCTTATACTATATAATTTGGTAAATCAGTGATTATTTTGAGTTCAAATTTAGGCTTTACCATTAACTAGTAATTTGGGCATTAACATCTATTTCATAAAGCAGTTGGAAATATTAAATACAATTATGTATGAAAAGGATTTTTTACAGTACTTGGTCCTCTATACTAATGTTATTACCATCTTGAACTGGCAAATAAATTCTTTATCTGGTAACAGATGTAGAAAACAAAATATCAAGATCTCATTCTTTATTATTAAACAAATCCAGTCATAGGCAGTTTGTTCTTCCTCTCTAAGTGAATTAGCACACACCCGGCTCTATAAGTTGTCATTCTCACGTGTTCTTTTACTTCTGCTGTATATTATCCAGCAAAAAGGCTGTTAGATTTAGAATAAGTAGAATTGGATTTTTAAAAAGTATTTATTTTTTCAAATAATAAATACACATGAAACGCAAGTATAATGAAAAATCTCTCCAAACTCTGCCCTAAAACTAGCCAGTCTCCCTCCCCACATAACAGGCACTGTTACCAGGACACTATTTGTCTTTCCAGAGATAAACAAATATAAAGAGAAGAGGGTGTTTGTGTTTAAAGATATATTTTTATAAAAATGATAGCATACTGGAGAGTACATTGTTGTTTTCATTTACTATATCTTGGGGATTATTCTATATCATGTAGAGCTACTTCATCCTTTTTAACAGCTGCATAGTATTTCATTAAATAAATATACCATAATTTATTTAACCAGCTCTCCACTGATGGATGTCACACTTGGAAAGGCCTTTGTTCTAAAAAACCAAAACCAAAACCAAAAAAGAGAGTGTGGGGACACAGTAGGGAGTTTGGCTGCTGGGAGCTGAGTGGTACACATGGTACATGTGTCGAAGAAGTGAGGGGAGAGTTTCAGACTAGGATAGCCAATTTTTAACATTAAAATTTTGATTCAGCTGAAATTTCTTTTGTATTGTGAGGAAGGAATTCAACCGTATTTTTTTCCATGGTTTTGAAGGCCTGGACTGAGTCTTGGATTTGCCATTTCTTAGCCAAGTGGTCTCAAATAGATTATTTAACTTCTTTTATCCTATGTTTCTTCATTACTGAGGTCGAGTAATAATACCAGTCCTATCTGTCTTTCAGGGATATTTTAAGGATAAAATGAAATGATAGTCTGGAAAGTTCTATGTGAATTGAAAATTTTTTACAAATGTATGGTATAATATTAATCACTATTGTACCAAAAAGCACTCTTGTTAGAATTAGTACTTCTTCAGGCAGCAGAGAACTAACCTTCTTTAATTGAGACCTCCTTTGTTTGCATTACTTTTAATAAACTGTTAGTTTTTTCCAACTGCATATCCAGTATATTGTTCTTTCCACTGGTTTCTATCATTTTCTGTAGAAGAAACAGGATATATATTATTACCAAAGCAATGAAGCTATTTTGATTTTTTTACCTATGGATATGAAGACTAATGAAAATATAAGCCATTTAATACCTCAGAGTCTAATAATTAAATCTGGCATATATTTTTAAATAATACAACTTCCCAATTTATTTTTATTTTTAAAAGTAACGAGGTAAAAAATTAAAAGAGGCTAACAGTTATGAAAAGTTATGAAAAGTAAAAATATGACCTAATTTGAACCCCCTTCTTTCCAACTATTCAATCCTCAGCACTATGGTTAACAATTTTGTACCAATTCGTCTCCCACTAGCAGTGCTTCTTAATCTTTCTCTGTTCTCTCTTATTCTGGTAAGAATCACTCAGATAAGAAAACCCAAGTTCATGGTTTTAATAAAGCTCATAATGTTACCTCAAAATACTTATCATCATGAAAATTCTTTTATTATGGCAATGCTACACTGTGCAGAGGGAAAAAAGGAATAGAGAAGAATGATAAGAAAAGGAGAGAAAATAGAGGTAGATATTATTCCCACTCCCACTCTTGCTTCACAAACCCACTCCTCAGATCTTTAATTTATTCATCTGTGTTTTCTCAATGGCTATTCCTACTCCTCTCCCAGGTAGAGGAGGGGGAAAAAACCTAAAATATACTTGTAGGTTTGCTCTACCAAGTAATTTGTCCAGAGCTGTGGAGGGGGACTTCAAATGAGTCTGCTTTCAGGCAAAAGAGAAGGAAAAGGGAGCAGATAGAATAGTAAAAAGTAAAAAAAATTAGAGTAAGTCACAATGGTAAAAGATTAAGGACTGAGTCTCCTTCAATTCTTACTAAACTATTCCTGAGTTTATAGACATCCTGGGCATTTAAGTATGTATTTTCACTCTAACTTCAGCAAAAGTATATCAATTATTTGTTCCCTTGCCCCAGAAACTTTTTGATTTATTAGCACAAATGAGCCAAAACCAGATATATTTTAAATACAGATTTAAAAAATGGTAGAGAAAGGTCTTAGTAAAATACATTTACATTATTTTTATCTTATTCATTTTTTTAGTAAATTTTTCTTTCCTCCCAACTCCTTCCATTGGCAAAATCTGTTCCACTTTTCCTTATATACTGCAACTGTTTGATATCTTTACATACCTTTTCTATCTGTGAGAAGTCATTTATAAGTTTGTCAAGATTCACACTGCTAACCCTTTTCATACATCCTTCGCTGCTTTGATTCATGTCTAAACTAGTGAAGAGTAAATAGTGTTAAAATAAACAGACAAAAAATAAATAAAATCTAAAGCATTACAATAGTGGTAATAACTCAAATAGTAAAATTTCTGTACTCCATTCATAGATCACCTACTTGAGCTCCTTTGCACTCAGAATTTTTGTTATACCCATTGTTAACAGGAGTCACATGCATTAAGGCTTCTCCACTCCTCTCCATCTCTACCCCAGCTGAGTTTTCTCTAAACAAATCTAAAATTAGTGCAAAGATATGTACATATCTGGATATTATTTGTCCCTATTATACAAAAAACCAATTATGCCATTGTTCAATGTTTATCTCCTTGCCATCAGTATGGCTGGACTTAAAATCTGATGCATTACTAAGTCTGATACATGACTTTTAAATATAGGTATTCTCAATTTAAGATGTTGAAAGTATTTGTTTAATTATCATACCACAAATATACATAAATTTTTTTAAAATACATACATCATAGTAAACTTTTTTTTCCCTAAGATTTTATTTTTCCTTTTTTCTCCCCAAAGCCCCCTGGTACATAGTTGTATATTTTTAGTTGTGAGTCCTAGTTGTGGCATGTGGGATGCTGCCTCAGCATGGCTTGATGAGCAGCGCCATGTCTGCACCCAGGATTCGAACCGGCGAAACCCTGGACCACCAAAGTGGAGCACGAGAACTTAACCACTTGGCCACAGGGCCGGCCCCAACCCACAAATATCTTTTGCTGGATTTCATTTTTTTTTTAATTTAATTTAATTTTTTTCTTTCTTTTTTTTTAATTTTTATTTTTTTCGGATGTACATCATGTTTCAAATTCTGGATACATTACATCATGTTCACCACCCGAACACTGATTATAGTGCATCCCCTCACATGTGACCCTAATCACCCCTTTTGCCCTCCCCCTCCCCCCTTCCCCAATGGTAACCACCAGTCCAACCTCCAATGCTATGTGTTTTGTTTGTTTTTTTTTTGTCGTTTTTATCTTCTACTTATGAGTGAGATCATATGGTATTTGACTTTCTCCCTCTGACTTATTTCACTCAGCATAATACCCTCAAGGTCCATCCATGTTGTCACAAATGGCTGGATTTCATCATTTCTTATGGCTGAGCAGTAGTCCATAGTGTATAAATACCACATCTTCTTTATCCATTCGTCCCTTGATGGGCACCTAGGTTGCTTCCAAGTCTCGGCTATTATGTGTAATGCCACAATGAACATAGGGGTGCAAGTATCTTTATGCCTTTGTGTTTTCAGGTTCTTTGGATAAATATCCAGCAGTGGAATAGCTGGATCATATGGTAGATCTTTCCTTAATTTTCTGAGGATACTCCAAACTGCTTTCCATAGTGGCTGCACCAGTTTGCACTGCCACCAGCAGTGAGCAAGTATTCCCTTCTCTCCACACCCTCTCCAACATTTGTTCTTTCCTGTCTTGTTAATTATAGCCATTGTGATCGGAGTGAGGTGATACCTCATTGTAGTTTTGATTTGCATTTCCCTGATAGCTAATGATGTTGAGCATCTTTTCATATGCCTGTTGGCCATCCGTATATCTTCTTTAGAGAAATCTCCGTTCAGATCTTTTGCCCATTTTCTAATTGGATTGTTGGTTTTTTTGTTGTTGAGCTGTATGAGTTCTTTGTATATTTTGGATATTAACCCTTATCTGATATGTGGTTTGCACTTTGCTGGATTTCCTGGTAGCGTGCTTATTGCTGTGGACTGAATTGTGCCCTCCCCAATTCATAGGCTGAAGCTCTAAAACCCCAGTGTGACTGTATTTGGAGATAGGGTTGTTGGGAGATAGTTAAGGTTAAATAAGGGCATAAGGGTGGGGACCTAGTCCAACAGGACTGTGGCCTCACAAGGAGGGAGAGAGATCTGCTCTCGCCATTTGCTATCACTGAGGAAAGGCCATGTGAGCACACAGTGAGAAGATGACATCTGCAACCCAAGGAGACAGCCCTCACCAGATACCCGCTGGCACCTTAACTCTGGACTTCCCAGCCTCCAGAACTGTGAGAAAATAAATTTCTGTTGTTTAAGCCACTCAGAGTGTAGTATTTTGTTATGGCAGCCTGAGTAGACAAATATTCTTCATATTTTGTATGGTAACTTGTTTGGTAAATAAAGGATATATGGAAATTAATACACTCAAAGCAATCACTCGGTACTTCTACTCTGTTATTTTGTGTAAAAATAAGCTTTGGGTATAGACAGCTAACTGTTGCAATGAAGAATAGGAGTTTCGCTTTTAGTCTTATCGAACCAAACATAAGAAATTCTAAAGAATTCCAGAGGTAAACTCATCCAGTCAGGATGGAGAAATTGACTTTTGCAAAACAGCCAGCATTTACATTTGGGGCTGGAGGAGTGTCTAGGAGAATGAGGATTGATACAGTCTAAAAGTATGAGACACCTGTCCTTTAGATTTTTCTCTAGCAAAGAGGAAAGGGAATATTCAGATTTGAAATTTAGGCATTCTAGATCGAGGACTCAGCACTGTGTCAACGCAGCAGTGGCAAGTAGTCCAAAGTAAAAGGGAAGTAAAATTCATAAAGTAAGTATTCAAAGTAATTTGAGGGGGCCATATTATTGTTTAAAATGAGGTATAGCAAAACATAGACATTTCTTGACAATTTGTTACTTCATAAAGAAATCCCATGTCCTTCCTTTTTAAAATATTGTATTACGTTAACAACTACTAGTGGTTTTTATTTTATTTATTTATTTATTTATTTATTTATTTTTTGAGGAAAATTAGCCCTGAGCTAACTACTGCCAATCCTCCTCTTTTTGCTGAGGAAGACTGGCCCTGAGCTAACACCCATGCCCATTTTCCTCTACTTTATATGTGGGATGCCTACCACAGCATGGCTTGCCAAGCTGTGTCATGTCCGCACCCGGGATCCGAACCAGTGAACCCCAGGCCACCAAGAAGCGGAAGGTGTGAACTTAACCCCTGCGCCACCAGGCCAGCCCTACTAGTGGCTTTTAAATCTGAAAATTTTAGCTATAAATTTTCAGTTTATTGAATTATATCTTTTGTATCACATACACAAGTAAAACTCTATATAAAATTCTTTAAATAATTAAAACTTGATCCTTAAGGCAGGAGAATAATTGTAATAGCATCCCATGATGAACCCAGTACAATTCCTTTTGGGGTAAAATTTAAAAATCATCACTAATTGATATACTGTTATTGTTCAATAGAACTATATAATAATCTGAAGTAGTTAATACAAAGTCCTTCCTCCCAACCTTTTTTTTCTGCTCAGTCGCTAACATTTTAAATAAAAAAGGTTTACTATGGTTTTGTCTCAGAACCTGCCTCCTGAACTAAATTCGTTTTAATTTGAGCTCGATTTTCTTCCAACTCCTTTCCCCTAATGAGACCCTTGGAGTGTTTTTCCTTACAAAATCATCACTAAAATCCACGGGCTATTATTGCATGCTATCCTGTTTTGTCACACTGGCCCAGCCATGCAGTTCGTTTCTAGGCGTTTTCATCACCCCTCCCCCAGTGTCCTGGGTCAAGATCTCTTCAGTGGATACCGTCTTCTTGCCCAGTGAACTGGGCGACAAGCCGGTGATTCAGCGCTTCTCAAATTCTTTGGTGAGAAGCAGAGACAGCTCTGTGACCGTCAGGGCCCAGGTTCAACCATCCCCACAGGTGAGTGACAGCTCCATTCCCTTCTTTGGCCTTCCGCCCACTGGCGTCTGGGCCTCGCCCTCTCCCCCACCGGCCAGCCGGCCCTCGCTTGCGCGAGGGCGGGCTCGGGTCACCTGCCTGCTGCCCCCCTCGCCGCGCTCCCTCAGGTCACTCAGTCCTGAAGCCTGGGCTCCCGGCTCCCTCCCCGCATCCCGGTGTCCCCAGGAGCCCCACTCAAAGGTGGGACGCGCGCCCCAGGCCTCAGGGGAGTGGCTGCCTCAAAACCCTGTTCCGACCCAGGCGACTGTGAGGGGGTAGGAAGAAAAGAATATCCACGGAAAAAGCGGGAATTTCGAACCCGCCGACAGAGGGGCTGGGGCGTACCCGCTGTCGCTCACGTTCTCCACAGTCTCCTTTGTCGCCTCCTCGGTGGGGTGCCTGGTCCGCCCCTGACTGCTGTCCCCTCTCAGGGAAGCAGGTTCCCCCAACAATGCGTCCCTGGGAAGCAGGTTCCCCCAACACTGGGCCCGCTCTTTTCCTGCCCCCGCTTGTGTCGTGCCCTGTGTTCCACCTCCAGTTGTCCTTCCTTTCTTGGCCCTCGCTCGCCTCAGCATCCAGTGCTTCTTAGGTGTTTTCATACGGTTTCTAGAACGTAACTCAACATCCACTGACTACCAGATCAATAATTGTTTTCCCAATCGAAGAATAAATCACGTTGGTTTAAGCTTTGATTAATGAGTCAGCACCACTGAAAAATCCGTATTTACTCGAGTAACTTATAATGTAGTCTTATAAAGTACCAGACACGTGTTGGTGATGGAATGAAAGCATGAATATAATGCAATCTGTGCAGTCCAAAATCCGTTAAGGGATATAGTCTCCTACCTGCAGAGGTCTGTCTTGGTAGCTTAGTGGTTAAGGGCATGGGCTGTGTGGATTCAAGCCTGAACTCTTCTGTTTATCAACTGGGTAGTTGTGGGCAAGTTCTTAATTATACTTGCCTCAGCTTCTTTATCTGTAAAGTAGACATTAATAGTAGTGCTTACTTCATAGGGCTGTTGTGGTGATTAAATTAAATGATGCATTTTAAAAATGCTTAATGTAGTTCCTGGAGTAAAGTAAATATTCAAAAATATTAATTATAATTTTTAAATTTTGTTCAATAACAGTTTGAAAGTGTATCCTCCCAACTTTGCCACAGCTACTTTTTTTTATTTTTTTGCGAGAGATTTATTTTTATTAGTTTGGTTTTTTTATGAAATCCAAAATGTGGCAAGCAGAATAATGTAAACTGTAATAAGATAATTCATAGATAAATATATAATATAAATGTGTATGTTTCTCCATAGACCTAGCACAGTCAGAATAAATAGAAATAAACCAACACATCAAGAAATAAATCAGGAAAATTTAGCTTGATTTTTCTAGTTTGAAATGAGTCACAAGCTTCCCTTCCAGTTTATAGATGTTAACTTTTTTTCAGAGAATCCTAGTGAGTTCAAAATATGTCTGTCAATGAGAAACTATGTGAGCTTCCCATGATTTCATCTTTAAAAAGAGAATGCCTTTTACAGTTGTATTCAGTTTTATTCATCAAATGCCATCCAGTTGAGACACAGAAAAGATTCATTGAATGTTTGCTCAGAAACTACCTAGAAAACTATAAGAGAGAAATAACTTACATTATTGTGCCATACTGACACAGGGAGTGTAAAGAAAGCAATGTTAGAATTCTTTAAAAAGTGACTTGATTTGAAAAATAAACACACATGCACCTGCACAATTGAAAACATACTGATTTATGCATAGAAGGATCTCAAGACGAGTGACACATTGTTTTTTTAGGTTGTAAACAACTTCATTTATTAATTCATTCAAAAATATTTAAGTACTTGCAAGATACCAGCTACTGAGGGTCTAGACACTAAAGAGAGCAAGACAAATAAGAAACTCTGCTTAGGAGCTTACAGTCTCATAGGACTGCCTTTTTAAGACCATCAGCACTTACCCATCTATTTATTCAAGAAATACTTGTTGAGCACCAACCATGTTCCATGCTCTGTGGGAACACTAGGAATAAAAAAAACAGATATGGTCCCTAACCCCAAAGGGCTTACAGTTTAGAGAGAGACATAGATAATAAACAAGTAAATAACCAATAAATAAAAATTGTAACAAGATCAAAGAAAGAATCACAAATCCATGATATTGATTTAAAAAGTAAATAGGAGCTGCTTTAGATATATGTAGTGGTCAGGGAAAGTCTCTAGGCAGATAAGATGAAAGTGACACCTGAAGGCTACATCAAAAAGTTAGCTGTGGCCAACGATAAACGCCAGCTTTGCCCTTTTTTACTTCCTGCTCCCTCTCTTGGCACACTTCTCCTTGCTCTTATGTGTCTCTCCATCTGATTTCCCTAGTTCAGTATCTGCTTCTGAATCATAGTCTTGGCTTCAGTTGCAACTGCAAATCTCAGTTCCGTGGCTCCCTGGCTCTTAGCATTACTTGCAGTAATTAAGTAAAGGACACCCCGTGCACCAGTTCTATGACCCCGTGGAACTATGTTGGTTGGACTCACTCCCATCTTTCCCCATATGGAGAGAGGAATTTGGACATGATTCCAGGACAATGCTTAAATCATGGAATACTTGGACTGCTTTTCTTAAAACAATTATCCTTAAATATGTAAATATCCCATCTCTCAACAGGCTTCTGTTAAAAGTAGGATCATATTGCTAACTGGGCAGAGTCTGTACTTTTGGTTGAGAACAGGAAGTGCAAGTATTCTATTTAACTTGTTGAGAACAAATCAATATATTTTAGACAGTGAGTGTATGGTAAGGGTGACATATTTTTGTGAAAATTAAGGTGACTAACCAACTCTTAGTGGTCTGGCATTCCTTAGTTATTTGGAGGTGGCTATGCAGGTACTCTTGGGAGAAGCTAGACTTTTTCTAAAAGTACAGTTTTAAGTCTGTACAAGTACAGAAACAAATGATCCCTGGTAGCTTCAACGTCATAATAGAGCATGAGTTTGATGATTTGGGTCTAAAATATTCCACTGCTCCCAGAGAACATCAACTTTTTCATAACATACCTTCTTTATTGATAACTTGGTTGGGGTCGTAGAGGGAGTAAATAGGCTTTTAGACATTCCTAGCTTCAAATCCTGGCTCTGCCCCTACCAGCTGTGTGATCCTAGACAAGTCAGTTTCTCTCTCTGCCTCTTAGTTTCATCATTATCAAAGGAGAACAAGCTTCTGAGGATTATGGTAGGGATGAAATGAGATATTATATGTGTCTATCCTGGGGTTGGCTCAGAGTAGGCCAGAAATAAGTATTTGTTGAATGAATAAAAGAATGAACCAATGAACAATGTTAGTTCCTATATCAGAAAGCTATTGTGGTATAATAAACTACTCTAAAACTTAGTGGTTTGAAACAACCATTTATTTAGCTAATGCTATTGCAGGTCAGAAATTTAGACTAGGCTCAGGTGAGTAATTTTTCTAGTCTTACCTGGGTTTCCTAATGTATCTGTGGTCAGCTGTGGGTCAAGTGGCTTAAGTGGCTTTGCTGCTCTTGGCTGGGCTCACATCTTGGGAGCCTTGGTAAGGATGACTCATCACTCTGCCACTTAGTCTTTCATCCTCTAGCAGGTTCACTCAGGCTTGTTCTAAAGGATTTCTGGGTGTTTTTCTTCCTCTTGTTACACTTCCTGATTGATTGGTACTCAAACACTGCTCCAGGTGGCTGCCTCTTAGCTTGGCCATGCTGTGGTGGTCCAGGCAGATCCTGCTCCAACCTTTGGCTGGATGCGTTGGAAAGTTCATTCCTGTCACCCTCCCCACTTTCTCCTTAATACTCCTTCTCCCTGATCCATTTTCATGTTCTTACTTTTTATTCGTCACTAGTCCCTCCTCATGGCCTCTAGCTCTCCCATCAGAAAAGCTTGTGGCGCCACCACTGAAAAGGGAATGGGTTCTTGCCCTCCTGAGTTTCGGGACACTTTTAACTTTTTGAATCTCATGGCCAGGTTAAGAGAGAGGCTTTCTGCTTTGTGGAGATTGAAGGACTGTAATTTCTAGTAATATCTATTATTATGAATTCCAATATAAATTTCATATGGTGCCTTAACTTAGTTCATTAATCTATCTTGCCTCTGAACTATATTTGAAGACTGGGAATTGAGGTCTTTCCAGTTTCCTGTATCTTGAATGTGGGAACATCTCAGATAAAACTGTTTTTGGCTTTGTCAGACTCAGCTATCTCCTGTGAGCCTGTGTTAAATATTCGCTAATGGAGTTTACCTCTTTAATAAAAGCTTATTTTACTCCATGGGAGAATATCTTCATGACATAGATTCTCAAACTGTGCCTGGAGTTCTGGAGCCTGTGTTCCGTCAGAAGGTCAGTCCAGGTTTTTCTCTTCCTCCATCTCACCCAATAGTTTTTTCCACTCCCCTCCCCCACCCTTCCCCAGGTACAAGAAAGTAATAATATTTATTTAATCTTTTTTCTCCATAGTTAGAAAGTATAAGCAGAAGTCGCAGGGCTTTCCTGACTCAACTGGAACTCTTGTGGGGGGTGAGGGTGGGTAGAGGAGCCCTCACTAACCTTCCTCTGTTTCTTCCCTTAACTGTCATCTTTTACATTTACAGTAAAAGGTCATGGCTTTCCTCTTGTCTGGTTCTTGTTTTTGTTTTTGAACTTTCTGACTGGTTTCATCTATTTTTTATTCATCTTGCTATGTTATCGAGAGGTGAGATTCTGTGATCTGTTTATTGTCTCCCATTTTTACCAAGAAGCATCAAGAACAATTTGATTGTAAAGCAATTGTGAGTATAATTTGAAGAGATTTAAGGAGATAAATAGTACTTTAATATCATTTATAACTCCTATGAAATAATTTATCCATCGGCTTCATATGACACTGATTCTCAATTTGCTTAGTGTCACTGTCTCCTCAGCTACGTGCCAGCCATTAAGAAGACTTCATGTCCACTTCTTGACATTGCCGCAGAAAAGCAATTTCCAGTTCCATTTAAGCTGGTACGATAATCCCTACAGAGTTTATGTTACGATTTTAAAGAGAAAATCTAGGTCAAACAGAAAGAAGTGATAACCTGGCCCCTTGACACCTTCAGCAGCTTCTCTGGAGCCCACTGGGTAATTTCACGTTGCAACTGAGTCGCCATCAGGAGCCACATTATTTATTTGCTAAACTGTATTTAACCCTCTCGAAGCCTTCTTCTGGAACAAGCAAGACAACAATGAGAAATAAAATACCGCTGAGAGCCAACAAGACTAAGTTCAGCTTCGGGAATCTGAAGTACCACTGAAACCTAAGTTCCAATGGCCTCACAGACTCAGCTGAAGGGTTAAGCACCTCTAAGCTGTTGGACTGAAGGCACCAACCTCTCTACCTGAATCCTTAGGCCAAAACACTCAAAACCAGCTCCTAACACTGAAGCTGATTCCACCAT